AGTTCAGTTCTAGTTCTCTCTCTCTCTCTCTCTCTCTCTCTCTCTCTCTCTCCCCCATTGGTGGGAGCCACCCAAGGCCATAATGTGCATGTTCTGTGGACAGATTATTCTTGGCCTTTCTTTTTCCCTTCATAATCTCCCCACTGTGCTTTCAACCTTCAAGGAAGCATGGTGTCACAAAGCATGCTGGACAGTCCTGGGCTTGAGCTCTGGTGCAGGTTGCTTGAGTTTCCTGAGCCATCATTTCCCCAACTCCAAAATAACCACTTCTGCATTGTCGAATTAGTTGAGAGAGTTCTCTAAGGCTCCTGGCCCAGCCCTTGACATAAGGCAAACAGCAGCTTCCTTTCCTGCCCCCCTTTTTCCTCCCTACCCTCTCACTGCCATTTTGGAGGGATTTAAAGACAAAACACTTTAGCTTCCATGGTGAAAACTGGAGCTGGATGCGAGCATAGTTGCCAAAGCTCATCTTGGGTGGGTATTTGGGAACAAACTGTTGGTTTCCTGTGAGCTCCTGGTGAGATCAAAGGTTTAGAGAAGGCTGAGGAGGTGGTTAATGGCTATGTGAACCAGCTTTCCACACATCTCTGGGCTGTTTAATACTGTTGTCTTGTGCCTAGTAAGTGATCCTTTTGCATTAAAAGAAAAAAAAAAATAGGGCTGGAGGGCTGGGAATGTGGCTTAGTGGTAGAGTGCTTGCCTACATGCATGAAACCAGGGTTTAATTCCTCAGTATCACATAAACAGAAAAAGCCAGAAGTGGCACTGTGGCTCAAATGGTAGAGCACTTGCCTTGAGCAAAAGAAGCTCAGGGACAGTGCTCAGGCCCTAAGTTCAAGTCCCAGGACTGCCTCCCCCACCAAAAAAAAAAAAACATGTTAAGAGAAAGGTACTGCTGCTGCTCATAGGGTTACAAAGCTGGTCCCAGTAGGGGGCACTTTCCATACCACCATGCTTTCCTCATGGACCCCTCTTGATCCTGAAAGGCTGTATGTGTTTTGCCCCTGTTTACAATCTCTACCACTGTAGCCTCTTATTTGTTAGTCATACTCTGTGTGTGTGTGTGTGTGTGTGTGTGTGTGTGTGTGTACGCACATATGCGCTGTTACTAGGGCTGAGACTCAGGGTCTGAGTACTGTCTTTTAGTGTTTTTGCTTAAGCCTGGGGCTCCTGGGGCTCTACCACTTAGGCCACACCTCTACTTCTGTCTTTTTGCTGGTTTCCAATCAGATCTTTGGATCTCATCCTCCTGTGTAGCTAGGATTACAGGCCTGAGTCACCAGGACCCAACTGGGCCTGCTAAGTGTTGATAGGCAGAGACACCTGCTGAACTGCATAAGTGACATATGTTTGATTTTATTTGATTAGAGTTGAGAACCAACTAAATAACTTCTTAATCCTGTGAAAGAGAGAAGAGAGGCAGTGGATATAGAGGGTCCTGGGAGACATCCCTGTCTCTTGGCAGGTGTGTCTGAGCTGGGGTGTGTCAGTGCAGGAGCACAAATCATCAGAATATGACCAGGCGGCTGCATGAAGGAGCTAGTATTACAGATTGGCTCAGAAGGACTGGTGGGTTCAGGAATTCTAGTTTAACTGCCTCAGGCAAAGTAATGAGTCTTAGACATTTGCCCATCATCCCCACTGAATATTTTAAGTTAAATAATGCACAAAAAGAGCCAGGTAAGCCGAGCACCTGTAATCTTAGCTTAGGCCTGTAATCCTAGCTACTCAGGAGACTGAGATCTGAGAATCAAGGTTCAAAGCCATCTTGGGCAGGAAATGTCCGTGAGACTCTTTATCTCCAGTAAACCACTAGATAACTGGAAGTGGCACTGTGGCTCAAGTGGTAGAGTACTTGCCTTGAGCTGAAGAGCGCAAGGACAGCGCCCAAGCCCGGAGTTCAAGCCCCACCACTGGCAAAAAGAAAAAAAAAGAGCCAGGCACTGTTGGCTCAAACCTATAATCCTAGCTATTCAAGGGGCTGAGATCTGAAAATTGTGATTCTTTGTTTGTTTGTTTTTTTGGGTCCGGTCATGGGGCCTGAACTCTGGGCCTGGGCGCTGTCCCTCAGCTCTTCAGCTCAAGGCTAGCCCTCTACCACTTGAGCCACAGTGCCACTTCCGGCTTTTTTCTTTTTTCTTATGTAGTGCTGAGGAATCGAACCCAGGGCCTCTGGCATGCAAGGCATGCGCTCTACCACTGAGCCACCTTCCCAGCCCTGAAGATTGTGATTCTAAGCCAGCCCAGGCAGATAAGTTTGTGACATTCTTATTTCCGTTTGTGACACTCTTATTTCCAATGAACATCTGAAAAGTTGAAAGTGGAACTGTGGATCAAGTTAGTGCCAGCCTTTGAGCACAGAAGCTCAAGGACAGTGCCCAGGCCCTGAGTTCAAGCTCCAGGACCAGCACAAAAAGAAAGAGAGAGAGAGAGAGAAGATAGATGCTGGGACAACTTATTTTCTTTACATTTTCTTTGTTCTTTTCAAATTTCTTGTATGCCAGTACTAGAGCTTGAACTCAGAGCCTGGGTGCTGTCCTTGAGCTTTTTCACTCAAGGCTGGTGCTCTACCACTTGAGCCACAGCCTCACTTCCGGCTTTTGGGTGTTGAATTGGATAATTGGATATAAGAGTTTCATGGGGCTGGAAAGGTGGCTCAGTGGTAGAGCACTTGCCTTGCATGCTTGAGGCCCTGGGTTCGATTCCTCAGCACCACATAAGCAAAAAGAAAAAAGCCAGAAGTGGTGCTGTGGCTCAGGTGGTAGAGCACTAGCCTTGAGCTGAAGAGCTGAGGGACAGTGCCCAGGTCCAGAGTTCAGGCCCACTACCGGACCCCCCCCCCCAAAAAAAAAAAAAAAAAAAAGAGTTTCATGGACTTTTTTTCTTAGGCTGGCTTCAAACTGCAATCCTCAGAGCTCAGCCTCCTGAGTATCTAGGATTACAGGAATGAACTACTGGCACTCAGCTTCCAATTTTTTTTTTTTTTAAGCTGACAGTTCCTTTCTGTGGAATGGCTGAAATAGTGCAGTTTGTAGAACTCAGTGTTGTATTTCCATCATCTTCTAGCTGGCACCCTGACCTCTGTGGGAAACTGAGTCTGAGTTGTTAGGTTGTTAGTGATTAAAATCTGGTCCACAAGCAGATAGATTTCTAAGCCGAGTGCTTCTCAATTCCTGGCAACAACTGTGCTCTGAGCCTCCCCCAGCCCCCAGGCATTCTCTCCCTGGAGCCCAGCTCACACTTGGGTGTTTATTTTCACATACAGTCCCGTGGCTATACTGGCATTGGTGGCTTGTTCTCATCCCCTCCCCCTTGCTGGAAGAACCCTGGCCTGGCTGATTGGAGCTTGTGGATTTGTTTTCTCCACCTGAGTGTTGCATAGTTTCCAAGTGAGATTTCAGAATGCCTGCAAACCACTGTAATTAGTAAAACACACACACTTATACACACACATACACCTTGTTTTCATCTCTGAATGACAGAGAAAGGACCTTCTTGTGACCGGCATTGAGCTGCCACAGTAAAGAGCTGACAAAACAGAAGCTGTAGCACTGATCGCCCATTAAACAGGGCTCCAGGGTAATCGACTGTCCAGCAGGAATTACTGGCTCAAACAAAACCCCTGGGCATTAGGACCTACTGCAGTCTTTGTTGGGGGGAAGGGCAGGAGAATGGAACTCTGTCTGGTTTTGCTGACCCGACAGACATCATTCATCTTGATTATTCATTGTGCTACTTGCTGCCAGATGACACTAGATTTCTGGTGACTATAATTACATTGTAGGGTTGAACTGAACAAAACCCCACGCCCTTCCTCCTGCTTGGTTGTTTATTTCCCCGGGCTGATGGTTCCATAAGACAGGACATAAGGAGAGCCTGGTGTAGGCACTGTCAGATGGCATTTACAGAACAGAGTGCTTCCTTACACACTCGCTTCCTTACACACTCGCCTTGTACTAGATAAGCAGGGAAAACATTTGGTGGAGCTGTTTTATTTCAATTGACAGGACATCACTTCTCCCTCAGCCCTGCCTCGCTGTTGTGACTTGGTGCTGTGAGGAGGAGGGCCTGCCTCTCAGAGCCCGCTTTGAGTAATGGAAGCCAACTGTGGGTCCCCAACATAGCTGAATAATGTTGCAGTTGGGTGCTGGTGGCTCATGCCTATAATCCCAGCTACTGAGGAGGCTAAGATCTGAGAATTATGGTTCAAAGCCACAGTAGTCTGAGAAAGTCTGTGAGATTCTTACCTCAAATTAATAACCAGAATATCAGGAAATGGAGGTATAGCTCAAGTGGTAGAGCACTAGCCTTAAGTGAACAAACCAAGGAACAGCACCCAGGCCCTCACTGTAAGCTCTATGACTGGCACAAAATAAAAAAGAACAGAAGTATAGGCCTGTTTTTGCCCTCACCTTAGTCCATTGGACAGTTTTAATTAGACCTAACCAATTAAATAAAATCTAGGATTATATTATGATGAAAATGAACTCTTGGCTTAGGGGCCCCTAGTCTGTACCCCAGAAACAGTCTCAGGCTGTGGCAGCTCTTATAGCACTGAAGTGTTCATCGTGAAGCTTAGGGCTTCTGGTTGAGGCTTGGCTGAGACAGACCATGGCTTTGGAATCCTTGTCCCCTCTGTCCTCACTCAGTGTCACATGGGGAACCAGGTTTGCATCTTCATACCTGTTGCACAGTGCTCTTATTTTGTGATGGCTCTTGGAAAGTCAGCACCATGAGGGTCTTAGAACCCTGGGTTTTGGTGTCCTATGACCACAGCGTTATTAAGCAGGAGGGGTATCCTTACATTTCCTCAACAAAAGGACCCCCTGTTGTTTTGGAAACATTACTGACAGCAGCAATGTCTCTGGAATTAGAGGTAGTCAGCTGATGCCCAGGTATAGCACAAATGCTGAAGTCATTGCCTCCCCCGACGTGGAGCCCTGGCCTTCTACTCATTCTCTTCCCATGCCCCTCTCAGCATTGTGTTCTGTTCCCTTCAGAATGGTGGTTTGGCCTGGAGTGATGATGCTGACGGAGGCCGGGGAAGAGAGATCTCACGAGATTTTGCCAAGGTCTGTAACGAGCATCTTGTGGGGTAAAGATGGGGAGCATTTGTGCAGCGGGTTCTGTCTGGCACCCAGGGAGAGGACGTGAGTGGCCAGTGAGTCACATTCATAACTATTTGAATGGTTGTACAATCTCTGGTCTGAGCCTTTGTGCTGCAAGATGTAATGTTCACTGTGGTTTTGTTGTTGTTTTTATTTTTATCCCTGCTTGGGGTCTTGATTGCAGCTATATGAACTGGACAGTGATCCTGAAAGGAAAGAGTTCCTGGATGACCTCTTCATCTTCATGCAGAAGAGGGGTGAGTGTGCACTTTCCTCATGGTTCAGTTCCCTGGGTGTTTGAGTGCCTACTGCATGAGCTCCCCACCCACCCTGGTCCACCATGGCATGACTGCTGATTATCCAGATACTCGAGCACCAGACTGAAGAGGGCAGAGAGAATCTAGGCAAAACATAGATTTGGTCTTGCCTTATTTTTGCCTCTCTTCAAATTAATTGGCCTGTGGAGCCACTTCAATTTGAATACACTTATTAAATCTTAGCCATACAACTGCTTTGCGAATGACAGGACACAGGCCCTCAGGTAGTTTTGGAAAGTCTGAAATCCATAGAAAAGAAGGGAGTACTGGTGCTTAAACTCAGGACCTGGGCACTATTCCTGAGGTTTTGTGCTCAAGGCTGGTGCTCTACCACTTAACTCACACTTAAGTCGTCCACTTCTCACTTTTTGCTAGCTAATTGGAGATAAAGAGTCTCAAATCCCTGCCCAGGGATGGCTTCAAACCATGAACCTCAGTTCTCAGCCTCCTGAGTAGCTAGGATAACAGATGTGAGCCACCAGTGCCCAGCTCCAACTTTGTTTTCTTATCCACTAGCTCTTTGACTGTTGCATTCACTGACTTGTTTGGAACATTCTTGTAGTTTAAGTGTACGGTACTGGCCATCTGCTTTATCATGAACCTTCCCAGTTCTCCTCTTTTCCCCCACTTGACCCCCAATAGCCATCTCCATCCTAGACCATAGCATGACCAAAGTGAGCCCAGCAGCTCAGCTCCGTGGCCTTGGATACCGCTTAGCAGTGGGTCAGCCCTCAGGAAGCTTGGCCAGGTCCCCAGGCTCCCTACAAGGTCCAGTCCACATGGCTTCGCCTTCATTACCCCATGACACAGAGAGCTGTTCCCCCAGCTTTCTCCCCAATATGGAATTGAGTTTCAATAACTTGATTGAGAGACCTGGGAATGAAGTTCTCTTTCTTTCAGGCTCAGCTATATATGGCAGCTAAATATTTGGAGATCCCTCACTCTCTACATATTCTCACCCACCCCTACCCCCCCGCAGTGTCTTCTCCGCCCTCTCCCCCTTCCTTTTCTCCTACCCCCTACCCCTTTACCTTCCAAAGCCTTCTTGGTGGTGGGGCTATTACTGCCAGCTTGTGTTCCCCCTTATATCCCTCCCAGCCTCCAAGCCTGTCAAAACAGTTTAACTGGCCCTAATTAGTTTACTCCAATGGCTATCTGGAGCTGCATGTGTTAGTATAAAAGAAAACAAGAATAGAATCCTGAAAGATAATGTGACTGGCAGCAGAGAAACTCCCTGGTTGTCGGAGAGAGAGAAATCCACTTAATACCTTGGTCTCCCCTTCCAATTACCTTTTAATTATTTACAAGCTTCACCAGCCCAGCTGGTGCAAACTCAGGCGCTGATCCCTCTCAAAGGGACTTCCATAGCAATATAGATTTTAATCAGCAGTGGAGCTCCATTGCTTTACTTTCTGCTTTATTGTTTTCCTCCCTTCCCAGAAGGAGTTTTAAAGGAAAGTAGAAGTTAGATCAGCCTGGCCAGCAGTGAAGATCAGTAATTGTTTACTACTGCACGCCTGCTCTGAACCAGGAGCTCCTGGAGGAAAGCTGCTTGGTCCCCCACTGCTAGCACCTCCCCAGGCAGGGAGGTGCTCTGGTTGGTGTTCCTGACACTGTTTGCCAGGCAAGGAGGCCGAGCTGCTTTGAGCTTTGGGTACATCTGCCTCATTGCTCCAGTTCAAAGACCGGTGGCTCTGTTGAAAGACAGCCACCCTGGGCTTGGGAGTCAGCAGCAGAGAGCCTTCGTTGCATCCTGACCAGAATCCTGGAGCTTCCAGGTTGCCATCTAGTGTGTGCTCCCACACCCACACCAGTGCTGGGGCCTGAACTCAGTGCCTGGGCGCTACTTTATCTTTTTCTGCTTAAGGCTCATGCTCTACCACTTGAGCCACACCTCCACTTCCAGAGTTTTGCTGGTTAATTGGAGATCAGCGTCTCTTGGACTTTGCTGCAGGGACTGGCTTCTCACCATGATCCTCAGATCTCGTCTCCTTAGTAGCTAGGCTTATAGGTGTGAACACCAGCATCTGACTTTGTAGCATAGTGCTGAGTAAACCCAGAGCAGCAATAAGTGACTCCCTTGGGTTAAGTCAACTTACAGCACTCAAATCAGATATTTCACTGTTTGCTGGCATTGCCGAGGAGAGGGAGAGGTCATCTGCCGCCTCCTCCACTGCAAAGCTTCCTGCTCTTAGCACTCTGCTCGGCCCTTCCCTACAAGGTTTCCTGCTGTCAGCAGTCTGCTAGATACTCTGCTGTGTCCTCCCCTACAAGGCTTCCAGTTCTCAGCACTGTCAACATTGGGACTAGATGATCCTTTGTTCCGGCTGCACTCCTGTGCAAGGATGTTAGTGGTATCTTTGGCTTTCTCCACTAATTGTCAATAGTGATGCTCAGAAATACATAATGTAAACGGCCCCCGAGGGCCAAAATGCTGTCTGGGGAGAGGGTTAGAAAGGGGAACAAGAAACAAACTTTTGTCCTGAGGGGGAAAGAAAAATGCAAATCATTCTACCTCAGTTTAGAGTGGGCTTGTATGGAGAGAGGCGGTGGCTTCTGGCTCCCTCACTGGGACATGGGACTAAGTGCTAGGGGAGTTGGGGCTGGGCCCTGTGTGTCCGAGGCCTGAGATCACCTTCCTGGAACACTCTTACCTGCTAGTCTAAATTGGAGTGGTGGTTCAGGCCAACTGGGAGCAGATTATACTTTTAATTATGTGACTGTGCTCTCCTCACAGAATGATGAGGCCAGGGGCCCTCAGACAAGTGTGATTTGCCATTCCCAAAGTAGAGTGTCTGGACCCTTATTTTTGTGCCAGTACAGGGCATTGAACTCAGGGCCTAAGCACTGTCCCTTAGCCTTTTCACTCAAGGCTAGTACTCTGACTTCTGGCTTTTTGGCAGAGATAAGAATTTCCTGGACTTTCCTGCCCAGGCTGGCTTGGGATTACAAACCTCAGATCTCAGCCTCCTGGGTAGCCAGAATTACAGGTGTGAGTTTCAGCCAGCACATTGGTAAGATGAGCACCCAGCTTGTGGAAGATCTTGTTAGCAGAGACCAAGGAAAAGCCTCATAGACCTCAGAAGTAGATTGGGATTCTCAGTTCGAAAGGCCTGGTAATGCTGGCCTGGGCCGTGAGTGAGGCGAGGCAGGGCAGCTGTGACACTGAGATCAAGGAAGGCAGCACACAGCAGGCTGCCGGGATGACTGCAGCTGCAGGCGATAAAACAGCTGTGTGGTGGAGCCGGGCATAGGCAGTAACTGCTGCTTTGTGCATGCCTCTGGCTTGTTAACACATTTGGGTGAATTGAACAGATGGGCCTTTCAGCCTCTGCCCTGCTTTCCAGGCCTCCAGGGTGACCCTAGCCCAGCCCACAGTGCCGCCTACCAGCAGGGAAGCCTGAGAAGAATGAAGTGGGTGGAGGCAATGCCCGTTCTACCCGTCTCCTGCTGCCCTGGGGCTCAGGCTGCGGTAGGCTGGGTGTAGAGGCTTGTGTTAGACAGGGCTCTGAGCTGAAGGCAGACAGGCCCTTCTCCACAGTCTGTCTTTTCTTTTTTGCCAGTCCAGGGGCTTGAACTCAGGCCTAGTCACTGTTCCTGACCTTCTTTTGCTCAAAGCTAGCACTCTATCACTTGAGCCACAGCACCACTTCCGGCTTTTTGTATTTATGTGGTGCTGAGGAATCTAACCCAGGGCTTCAGGCATGCTAGGCAAACACGCTACCACTAAGCCACATTCCTAGCTCCCTCTCAACAATCTCAAGCATATCCTCCCATTCTGATGACTATACTCTCCTTGTCTACAAAAAGAGAAGGTAGCTGGGTATACCAGTGGCTCAAGCCTGTATCTGTATCCTCACTACTCAGGATGCTTGAGATCTGAGGATCATGGTTCAAAGCCAGTCTGGGCAGGGAAGTCCTTGGGACTCTTTATCTCCAATTAACTACCAAAAAGCTGGAAATGGAAAAAGCTAAGGGACAATGCGCCCGGCCCCCAGTTCCAGCCCCAGTAGCAGGAGAGAGAGAGAGAAGGCTCATCACTTAGAGCCAACTTGGAAGCTTTTGTGTTCTCTCGCATGCTCCTGATTGCCCTGTTCACGCAAACCACCCTAGAGGAGCAAGAAACAGAAGAAATGCTTCTTTACCAGCGCTCTATCAAAATAATCATGCGGAAATACCCCAAGACTCTAAAAGAAAATATTTCTTTTCTTACTTTGCCGAATAATGAATTTCCTCCTTCTGACTGAAGCCACATGGAGTCACATGGTGCCCCAGAGTCTCATTTCCCCCAGAGCCATGGGGGGCACTGGTAGATCCCAGTTTTCCTTCTCTCTCTGCTTACCTTTTGATGCTGCACTGTGGGTGGCTCCTAAGACCTCATTCCTTCTTAAATTTTCCATTTAGTTTTCCAGGGCCCAAAGGGGAGGGACTGCTCTCTTAAGTCTGATCAGCAAAGGCTATATATATAAACAGTGGCATTTTTCCTTCCTGGGTGAGAAAACAAAGTGAATCTCCCTGATACAGAAGAGTGATGATGGTGACTTTGTAGCTGTTTTTCACTTGCCAGTACTGGGGCTTGAAACCTCGTGCTCTCATTTGGCCTCTTTGCTCAAGGCTGCCACTCTATCCCTTGAGCCAAAGCTCCACTTCCAGCTTTTATGCTGGTTGGTTGGAGATAAAGAGTCTCCTGGACTTTGCTACCTAGCTAGCTTCGAAATGTGATCCTCTGTTCTCAGCTACCTGAGTAGTTGGGATGACAGGCAATGAGCCATCAGCTACTTGTAGTTATTTTTATCATTAACCCATACACTTTACAGGATAGAGCAAAGGTTATCACTGGCCATGAAGAGTCAGCCCTGAGGTTAAGGGACTTCCTAAAACCAGAGATTGGACTTAGCACAGGGGTCTCCTGACTCCCTCCCTGCTCTGTGCCTTGGAGA